AAAAACCCTAACCGGATCATAACCGGCGGTCCCTCAACCGGTCCCTACCGGTCCCGGTCGGTCCCGGTCCCTCTCCGGTCCCGGTCCCGGTCCTCCGTCGGTTACGGGCCGGGCCGGGCCCATTTGGCCATCTCTATATAGGAGCCAATAATAGCCACCCAAAATGGGTAATCAGTTTCAAAATCTAATTCTCAAATAGCTTTGTATTTTTGGCAAAACGAGTCCCTCAAATATGAGAAAGTTGATGTTGACACAAGCCCTAATAGTTTACCCAATATTACATTTCATCTTTGTTTTGACATTTTTTTTCATCTTTGGTCTGGTTGAACATAAACTACTTTCGTCACTTCTCACTTTCCATATAAATGACACGATTGGCTCATTTTCACGTTTTTCTTCACATATTTGGTCCAATAAAAGGAAAGAAAACCAAATTTTCCTTTTCATATTTATTTATTTACCCCATTTTGGGGTGCCACAAATATCTCCTCATTTAAGAAATTTCGTCCTCGAAATTAATCTGGTCAAACTGTCGAGGATTTTAAGTCCTTATTTATTCTCTAGCTACCATGTCATTTTTAAACCTTGGAATTCTAGTTTCATTAACACCATCACAAGTACCAAAGATGTACTCTTGTTCCTTTATCTTTTCGTTTTCATGAGCAACACTTCGATGGTCTCCTCTACATAAGTGAGCTTCTCGTCAGAGCTTGATTACCTTTCAAATTTACAACAACTGAATCTTTAGTTAAAGGTTTCCTCGAATTCGAAAAGTAAAAAGTGTAGACAGTTTGCTTTGTAACCCTGTTGGTTAACTTTATAGCTAACTCTTTAATCCAAAGTGCTTTGGAGTTTCTTTACCTTACTTGTGATATACGACTATGTCCTCTCGAAGAGATATCTTTAAGATCATTTTGTCCCCATCCTAAACTCTAGCAGTCTATGTTCCTCATTAGCATAAACTCATGTACAAACTTTTCGTTAATATTAATTAAATTTGGAGTTCATCTATATATTTCATTGATTAGTGTTTAAGTTGAGCTCATTTGAATGTTTATTGGGTAAGTTATTGTTGACATTTCAAAACTCAAAGAAATGAGTTGATTAGGAAGAAATAGTAGTCTGCATAAGTTGCCACGCGGCTAAAGCCAAAAGCCGCCTAACACACTGTTCTATCCCAACTCTAAGGTGTGCGGGCGACTTCTTGTGTAGGTAAAGTCACCGCCAAGCCGCGGGGACGCCTGTTGATCGTTTAAACCCGAATTTTCATAGACTTTTTCCTAATTTACTCCGATCTACACTCTCTCACTTCATTAAATCTCTAAGGAAACCCTAGGTCCAATTTTGGAGCATTCAAGAGGCATTTACTAGCATTTAACATCAATGTTCAAAGATTTGGGTTGGAGAATCATGATCTTCTCATCCTTCTCATCATTTTGCTACGTTTTTAGGTTTTCTTCAAAACCTAACTTGTGAGTTCAATCTATCTTTTTTAAAACTTTATACATGTCAAATGTTTCATCCTATCACCTGAAACACTCCTTCTACATGATTTTAAGATTTGACCTATTTTGAGTATTGTAGGAGATTTGGGGTTTTTACCCATTTTTCTAGTAAATACAAGATCTTCGAATATGTGATATATATAAAAAAAAAATGTATTTTAAGTACATAAATATCATTGTTGAACTTGTTTTACATGTTTTATGTCTATCCTTGGGTTTTACATACTTGAAGGTATTTCATGGGAAAATGGTAATACTTGGGGAAAAGAAGTGTTATTACTTTTATATCAAGATCATCACTGAACTCGTAAACTTTTGGGAAAAGATGATAAAAATGGTATGATATTTGGGTAAGAAAATGGTTTATTGTAAATTATGAGAACTTGGTTCTATTTGGTAAATGTTATGCTAAAAATGTTTTTATGAGGACATCTAAATGATGAGAACTATATCTGCGATTATAATTGGTCATTTTTAAGTTGTGACAAATTTTAGACTGAATGCAAATGAATCCATAGGCATAAGGTTTGGTTTATTTTGAAATGGGATAATTTTCTCGTTTCTAACTAGAATTAGACACTGGGTTATCAGAAGCTTTGAACTATAAACCACAAGTTGGTTGAACTCTAGCTATTGGCCATTTAATGTAATTTCTAGTGAATGAGTGTAACTAGAATCATACGAAAGGCCTAGAACTACAAATCATAGGTTGGTTAAACTCATTGACCATTGATCTTTAGTATGAGCTCTATAACATGGAATTGTGGTTTATTTTTGTGTTCCACCACTTCCCAAGGAAAATTGGGTCTCCCCCGTCATCGTATGAAGTATTTTGGACTTTATGGTCTCTATTTGGAATCTATAAACTTAGGTTTTAAATCAATCTTCTAAACTGTAATTTTTTGAGACTAATTACAGTTATAAATGTTTTGTTCTCACTAGGCGTTAAACCTAACATTTTTTCTTAAATAACATGTATATCATGCTCTATTAGTGGTGGGACTTTCAAGGTATGAGCGAAGTGATGGTTACCGTTAAGGGAATTTTTGGGATGGTACTTTTGAAGATACATAGCTTCACATATTGATTAGAACTCTTTTTTTATGATTGTAGTGACACCGGATTTAATCTTCACTTAGTTTGGTTTAGATTTTAGGTTGTTGGCTACCATTCCTTTGTTTGTTGTAAATGCTTACATTTACCCATTATTTGTGTGATTTCTTATTATTCAAGAATCTTTTGCATAGATGATTTTTCGGCTTAAATTTACTGCTATTTTAGAGGTCTTACACTTTCTATGTACTATGTATTTCTACTATACTCATGTCGTTACTTGACTCATGTTGGTAACATATCTGACTACTGCACTTTTTATGCATATGATGGACAACTTCCTTTACATAATTTACTATGATGGAATAACACACCTTTCATGGCTAAAAAGGAATTAACAAAACATGTTGTGCCATAACTAAACATTGCAAGAAATATTCATCAAAGATAATGCACGATAGATGAGCACTACATGGAATACTTTATCGAACGTGATGTGAAATGTTAATGTTTGTTGATACACTAATGCATACTCAATGCATATACTGATAGGTGTTGTAGACATTAGTGCCTAAATAACATTCATACTAACCACTGTTGAGGTACTGTGACATAACCTATAGTACGTACTCTACCCCGTTTTACGATCTCCCTATATGGAAGGAAACACATATTGTATCACTTACTCTACCCCGTTTTACCATCTCTCTATAGTGTTGCACAATGCTATATTGCACTTATGTTGTATTATGATGTGTCTAACATGTGTTATTATGATACTGGTATTGATCCATATTTAAATGTCTTAATTTCTCCAAAAGTCAACTACAGTCTAACTCGACCTGATCTAAAATCAGACTTCAAAAATCGAGTCAGCTAACGTATCAAATATCTTTATTTGATCCTATCGTTAAAATAATTGTGGGTTAAATGAAGAAAAACTCAACCCTTAGTCAACTTCAACCAAATTTAAGTCAAACCTTGAACTTGATGACACCTTAAAACATCAAATTAATCATTTCATTGATTTTATAAATATATCACTTCAAATTTAAACATCCATTGGATATATTTAACTTAAATTACGACATTTTAATCACACTACTAAATCATTAAAATAATTTAATAAATCTCTAAATGTCATGCTTGATAACAACTCTTAATATCGATTTATCCTTTTAATAATTGAATGAATCATCTGTCATTTATTAGGTGTCTTAAATCATTTCTAAAGCAAATTACGAAACATTTATTAAATAATTTAATAAATCACTTTGGAAAATATTAATTTTCTAACTGAATTAATATATGAATTAAATAACATATTAATAAAATTTAAAATTAAATTAATCAACTAATATAACCTATACAATATAATAAAATAGAATATGAAATTATTAATTAGATTAGGCCCAAAACTTAATTACCCAATTAAGTTATGGACCTAACACAGCTCAACAGTCTGGCCCAAAGGAGAGATTCAGCTCATCAAGCAGGTTGGCCGGTCACCGCTGGCGTCTGGCCATTTTCGTCGGCCGACTACCTGCATGGTCGCATCTCTACTCAAGCTCTGTTCGCTTTTTAAGGCCGTTTGACCTCATTTTTCAACCACTTTCATTGATTTTGTTTGCAAAAACTATAAAAAAATCATTTTTCTCAACCATAGGAACAAGAATCAACGAAAACCATCAAATATTGAGTCACATTTACTCATTTAAAGTTGGGGTTTAACCACTTGGAAATTTTGTGAACCACGAAAAGTTCACATGTATTTTTTTCACAATTGAACAAAATATCCGTAAAACAATTGGACGGACGGACGGACGGACGGAGGGCGGACGGATGGATAGTACACTATTTGAAAAAATATCCTATAAAAACGAGTGTCCAATAAAAAATTGAGTTTATAAGACAGTTTCTCAAAAGTGTCCTATAAAGTTGTTAATGCTACACTTTGTATTAAAAATGTCCTTAAAAACTTGTTAAGACGCCCAAAAGCGTCGTATAAACTTATTACAACACCTTTAGATAGGGCACTTTATATTTTGGTCCTATAAATTAAGTCCTATAAAGCGGTCTATTGAGACACTTAGAGATTGGGGGTGTCCTATAAACCCAATTTTGTTGTAGTGTTACCATGTTTAAAATTTGAAAAACATTCATATATGTGTTCTTCTTTGAAGCATATAATGCATACAAATGCAAATAGATGCACAAACGTTTCGATATCCATTTACAGCCCGACCCGAACCCGCTTATGTATCTAAAGATCGGCGAAGATACAACCATCAAAAAGTGTCGAAAGCCATTCGGTCGTAACTCAACTAGAACAGTTGAACACCCATCATGTTCAATAACATGTAGAGCTTCCAAATGCAAGTTCAATAACTCACATATCGTATATTGGCACGAGTGGCTGCGTTCTATCGAGCATCTAACATCGTTATGGTGACATTATCGACAGAATTTTGTGTCGGACCCAATGAAATAGCATTGTTTTCAGGCAAACTCACTTGAGTGAAAAATGCGGGTTGTTTTGGTGGAGGCAATGTACTCTCGTTATCCAACATCACAACCACGGACGACATAGTTGGCCTATCTTCCGCATGTTGTTGCACACATAACAAACCAATATGTATGGATCGAAGTAATTCAGAGTCGATGCACACATCCCTTATCTGAGAACTTGCAAGCTCAAGGGTCCTCTCTTCGTTATAAAGTCTCCATGCCTAAAAAATGTTAAAATCGGAGTACGATATAAATGTAAATATCGGGAATTCTTGAAAAAAAATGATTGGCTCATTTGTTATCGGGTAAGATAACAGTGGCAATGGTCGAAACATAAGGTACATGGATCAAATCACTAATATTTGCTATAAAAAAATCGGGAGAATATATATGTTCGTTAAACTTACATGTCCAAGAAGGTTATCGTCGTGTTCTTCATGAAAGAATCCTCGGTTTTTCTTTCCGCTCACTATTTCCAACACCAAAACTCCAAAACTGAATACGTCTGATTTTACTGAGAAAAGCCCATGGACTGCATATTCTGGAGAGATATAACCACTGCAGATTAAAAAAATAGATGATCAATATATATCAACATGTGACCATGCATATAATTCGAGGAAAGTATTTGTCAAATGTCCAAAATACCCTTTTCCGATAATGCGAAACTAATAAGCATAGCCAAATTCGTTGTGATAACGATGATGAGCAAATTAGATAAATGTAAATTATACATGGTTAGTAGTTTCTTACTAAGTTCCGACCACTTTATTCGTCGTGGCTTCTGTCTCGAACCCTATAAATCTTCTAGCAAGACCGAAGTCTGAGATTTTAGGGTTCATGTCATAATCCAACAAAATATTTCCCGCTTTCAAATCTCTGTGAATAACCCGAAGCCGAGAATCCTGATGCAGATAAAGGAGACCTCGAGCAATTCCATGGATAATACGGTAGCGTTGGGGCCAATCAAGCAATATCGAGCTCTGGCCTTCATCTGTCCAAATTTTTCAAAAACTGGGTTAAAACTGTAGTGAAATTTACGAGATCATAACGTAAATACGATGATGAAAGAGAGGCAAACCGAATAAAGCTAAATCGAGGCTTTTGTTAGCCATGTATTCATAAATTAGCATTGTTTCGTCTCCTTGAATGCAGTATCCTAACAGCTTCACGAGATTCCGATGCTGAAGTTTTGCAATACATCGAATTTCATTCTTGAACTCGTCGATCCCTTGTCTCGAAGTTTTCGACAATCGCTTCACAGCTATTTCTCGTCCATCATCCAACACACCCTGTAGTTTTTGAAGAATTGTTATATTTTCTTAATTAACATGAACAATTAACTTCTCTAACCTTCTTGGTTATCTTTTAATAAACAAAACGTTTTATCTAAAGGCGTTAATAAGTCTATACGACGCTTTTGAGCATCGTAACAAGTTTGTTAGGACACTTCTATAAAAACGTCATATTACTTATTTTATTGGACACTATTTGAATAAGTGTCATATAAACACAAGTGTCCTACAAAAAGATGAGTTTATAGGACGTTTTATCAAAAATGTCCTATAAAATAGCTAATGCGGTGCTTTGTATTATAAGTGTCCTAAAAAACTTGTTTATACGTCCAAAAGCATCATATAAACTTATTAGAACACCTTTAAACAAGACGTTTTATTATTTGGTCCTATAGATTATGCCTTATAAAGTGGTCTATTAAGACACTTATTTATTGGTGGCGTTCTATAAATCTAATTTTATTGTAGTGTATAGGATATTTTAATAATATAATTAATGTCGGAATTGCTATAATTGTCGAAGTTGGATGTAACTTTTAGTGATATTGATTTAAAAACTCTATTTTATAAAAAATTACAACATAACTTTTGAAGATGTTATTAGGGTTTTGTTAGGATCAAGCGCTTACCCACTACACCAAAAGCAATTGCCTTGGTGAAGGCGTAACCTTATTTCCCTTATAGTGTAGCAGCCAGCGCCACGTTTCGATTTAGGAAGATGCTGAAACCGTGACCAACAATCCCCCCCCAGCATCTGCCGGTACTAATAAGAGCTTCGTTAGAAGTCAATAGCCGTGCAACATGCCTTTCTCATAATTATTCACTCCTTGCATATTATGCACACAATGGGATTCGAACCCGTGACCTGCTCTGATACCAATTGTTAGGATTAAACGCTTACCCACTACATCAAAAGCAATTGTCTTGGTGAAGGCGCAACCTTATTTCCCTTATAGCGTAGCAGCAAACGCCACGTTTTGATTTAGGAAGATGCTGGAACCATGACCAACAGGTTTTAACATGAATACTTAATAAAACATCCAATCAAGTGTTTTACTTTTAATAAGCCCTTGTCTAGTGTACAATGGTTAATCTCTGGGGCTGAACTACATTATGAATCGATGCCAAAGGGTTTTGCTCATTTCATGATCTAAAGTGACTCGTTGGAAAAGCAAGGGGCCGTTTACCCAAATACTTACCCGGTAAGCGCTTATCAATAGGAGTCAACACTATAATCTATTTTACCGGATAAGATTGTAGTATATTAAAACAATATCGTATGCAACAATTTACCCGGTAAACAATTACCTTGTAGACAGCACCAAAGCCACCTTCTCCAAGCTTATTGGTAATGGAGAAGTTACTTGTAGACTTGGCAATTTTAGACAGACTAAAAGTTGGTAATTCTGCATCTTCCTTCCCACCCTCATTGATGGAATCTACATTCAAGTCTTGCACCAGGTTACATACGTAAAACTATTTCAAGAGAAACAAATTCGGGTTTATAGGACCTTAAAAATGTCTTAATAGACTGCTTTATAAAACTTAGGTTTATAAGACCAAACAATGATGCATCCTATGTAAAAGCGTTGCAATAAGTTTACAAGACGTTTTTAGACGTAATAACAAGTTTTTTAGTACGCTTTTGAAATAAAGCGTCATATTAACTTTTATATGACATTATTTGAAAATTTTCTTATTAAAAACATATGCCCTATACAAAGATGTGGTCGTAGAACACTTCTTAAAAGTGTCATAAAAAACTAAATGCGACAATTTAAAAACGTCCTAAAAGAACTTGCAACATGTCCAAAAGCGTCCTATAAATCTATTACAACGCTTATAGGACACATAATTGTTTGGTCCTATAAACTTAAGTACGATAAAGCAATCTATCAGGACACTTGGGCATCTTTCGCGCCTATAAACCCGGTTTTGTTAGTGTTGACCGAATTGTTTTGTAAAAGGAGCCGATATCGAATTGAAAAAAAACTCAATTTGCCTTACCTTGTCTGTTCATGAAGTATCTTTTCTTCTTGCTTCTTGCATACATTGCAAGAGATAGGCCTACTAGAACCAAACCAACCGAAGCCAACACGACCGCTAGGATTATATGTTTCGTTTTGTTCGAACCAGATTCGAGAGTCGTAGTAAGACCTTGAATACAAAGAAACGAATTATCGATCATATGCAGGATTATTGTATACAGATGTTACAACATATATGCCTTCATTTTCTGTCAAATGTGAAATAGATCATCCAAATGATTAAGCAAGAAAGCTGGTGATGTATAATAGTTAGAACGGAATCAGATTCCGCACCAGTGAGAACCATTATTTCCAAGAATGGTCGATTTTTTGAACCATCGTACTTGAAAGTCAAGTACGATTCTTCTAAAAGCCAATAACGCGATAAAAAGTGCTTACTTGTTAACTCCGAAACGGCCATTCTAATGTAAAGATTTTGGGTTTCATCGTATTCTCTAATATCCATCAGCTCATCAAACCATAGCAAGCATCCGCTTCCACCATTTCTGATATCTAAGTCTGAATATGCCGTGCAAGAGCAATTCATCCTGCACGCCATCTCGCATTCTCCTAGAGTCATGCTCGAATTGTACCATGAACGTCGGGTGTCTGGGAATTTCACACCCGAAATTCTAAGAAACCCGTCGCCACTCCCACAATTCAAAGGTAATCTACGCGTACACCCACCGGACCAATCTGCTACGCTCCATTGCTCTGGGTGTTTCGGTTCAAAACCTCTCATACAACTACAGACAGGGAAGTTGTTCGCGTTACAGGTTCCGTATGGGCCGCATAGTCCATATGGCGAACAACTATCAACGGGTACAGTAGTCAAAATATGAAACCAACTTCGGGTTTGATCAACCCAATTCATGCGTGTTAGATCGCCTTCCGGGTTCATATACAACCTAGAAATAATCGAACTATTAGCAACCTTATATCTGTAGAATATCTCCTTCTCATTGAAAACAAACTCCTTCAATGCTGTTGCCTTTACTCTCCATTCAGGCATGCCACTGAACCTAAGGCCATTCCACGGCCCAGATCTCGAGTGCAAATCGTTGCCTTGCCTCACGAATATCTGTGGGAATCCATTCGTATCCATATACGCCGTGTACTGTCCGGTAGAAGGATCATCAACGCTCTTCCACGATATAAAGCGCCTGTCGATGCCAGTAACCAAGTCCTTACCAAATTTCATACCTGGGAGAATGGTGTCTGTAGGGTAATCAAAGCTTTGCCATATGAATATCTGCTGATCGGTGCTACGTTCATCCCTTACAACAAGGTTTCCATCATCCAAGAGCTGTGCCACCGGAGCAATATTCCTTAATGATACAGATGAAGATGACCAAATGGTATCACCATCACTGAGAAGCTGCAGGATTCCGTCACTACTGACTTGGAGCATGCCTGAAGTATTGTTAAGTGGTGCATCTCTGTTTGCGATCCAAACAACGGTCCTATTTGAAACCTTCTTGTACCATATCCCCAGGTATCGATTCCTGGAGTTACCCACGCTGAAAAATCCCAGTTCAAACATTCCACCAGCTGAAAGGATGGTATCACCATCTCGCATGGCTTCATTTGTGGCTAAAGTGTCTGCTGCATTAGAGATAGTCAACAGAGAAATTAAGGCACCAAAGCAGAACAGAAGAATGGTAAGCTTCTCCATTAACATATGTTCTTCCTCCTCTCACAAGTCAGTATTAAGTTTTCTGTAGTCATTCAGTTCATCTGCATGCCATTTTGCAAGATCTACCCCTACCATTTGATATACAGCTTAATCTATCCAGACACCCACCTTGTTTGACCATGATATACACAATACATACACTAGCAGCCGCTTCTTTATAATTTTTTAAGCTGTACCATAGATATTTCTATTTAATCTTTTTATGTGTCATTGTGGAATTTATAAAACTTCTTCATATATGTTGTCCCACAAACGCCATTAAACGTTGTAGTCGTAGGCTGCTGGTTTTTTCTCCATTAATGGAAATAATACATACATTAATTAAGGCAATAATTCATATATCACTTGACCTTAGTAGTCGTAGTCGTACCTTGAAACAAACTTAGGGGTCGTTTACTTAAACACTTAGCCGATAAGCATTTATTGGTAAAATTCTCTATTGCTTACTTACCGGGTCAGATTTTATTCACTAAAATGCATCGTGTGCAACAATTTATCCCGGTAAACACTAATTATGGTAAGAGTCCTCCTACTCACTTACCGGCCAGACTCTCAGATTATTGAGCACCCCTACTTGCACATATCTCGATTAATCCTAGTGGTCTTGGAGAACGGCTAGAAAAATGCTCAGTAGGCTTGCTTGCAAGACTCGAACCAAATATGTTGCTTTCTAGTTCTCCATGGCCCGGGTACATATGAAATAGCATTACAAATCAACAATATATAATTACGGTCAAGAATTGTGACCTTACAATCATTTTTTTTATCTAATGGCTTTCTTCGTTTATGGCTAAATATTCTTACGACATGATTATATCCCTTTCTTGATCCCATCGAGAAATATACTGACTAATCCTAAGGCAAAGTTGCAAAGGCAAGGAACTCAACTATATCGTGCTTAAATGTGGGGCCAAACCTTCTTATCGCACTATTACAGATATAAAAATAATAGGAAAATATCTGATTCAGTTATTAATTGTCTTTATCGAAAACAAAATTGACAACTGATAATAATATGGATCTTTAATTTAAAATTATATTTTATTTCTTTTTGACTTTTTATTTCCAACGTCCCCATCACCAACGACTTACGTTTAACATTTGAGATTGTGGATACCACGCATAACCATTTCAGCAAAAATCTCCTTGACATTGCGTGAAAGGAAACACGCCCAGAAAGGAAACTAGATGGTTTGACCAAAAGCAGCTTCTTACACCGGACGATTTTATTTTATTATTTTTGTTTTATTTTAAAATTATATTTTATTTTATTTTATTATGATTTTATAGTTTTACATTTTAAAAAAAATATATATAAAATTTTATTTTATTATTTTTGTTTTATTTTAAAATTATATTTTATTTTATTTTATTATGATTTTATAGTTTTACATTTTAAAAAAAATATATATAAAATTTTATTTTATTATTTTTGTTACATAGAATTATTACCTATTATCTTATCATTTTATTTTTTTGTTAAAATTATTTTTATTTACGATGTTGATCATCAATGAATGTCCACTAGAAGCATGGTTATCATTCTCTGTCATTAATATCAACTACCACCCACCATCATTTAACTCAAAAGATTGGCTCATAATATTCACAAAGTCATTTGTAAAAATCAAAATCCAATAATCCAAACCCAGGAAAATGCATTATCATAATGACAAAATTTGTAAAAATCCTATTAACGGTTGTATTTTGAATTATTAAATCTTTGAATTATTTTTAATGAAAAAATCATTATATTTTATCGGTTTAATTGATTAAGTCTTTAAACTACCTTTTTTTAATAAAAACTATTAAACTTTCTTATTTTGAATGATTAAGTTCCTGAACATTATACAAAAAAAAATCATCAAACTTTTTAAAATTAGTTACCTACATTCTTTTATTAAAAAAACAAATAAACGTATTAGGTAAAAAAGAAACTTAAATCAATTTTACCGTTTCCAAATCATACACCCTTCAAATCCCTCGCAACAACGGTATCACTCCCTCTCGCCACTCTCTATCACCCAATCGTTGTTTGTTTTTCATATCGGCTATTACATTGTTGGTCTCTGCCATCGACCTTCCCTTTTTGATATATTTTTAGGAGGTTACAAGTAGTTTAAGACATTATTGGTCAGTTACAAGTAATTTTTCTGAATAATGTAGGTAACCAATTTTTAAAAGTTTGATGGTTTATTTTATTGAAAAAAATGTTTAGAGACTTATTCATTCAAAATGAGAAAGTTTAAAGGTTTTTTATTCAAAAAATAGTTCAAGAACTTAATCATTCAAAATTAGATTAGATTTTTTTGAATTTCTATTTTACCAAAAATTTAAAGATGGTACCCGCCTCTAATGGCCTAATGGGGCAAGGACACTTTTTAGTGGGTTACAAGAGAGGGGTTGGTTTCTATACATGAAGCGGATCAGGGTTGGGTCAAGGATGACATTACTTATCCCTAACACTGTTTCGATGTGTGTGTGTGTGTGTGTGTGTATATATATATATAAAGAGAGAGAGATAGGAAAGTTCAGTTACAAACCTGTCTGTTGTGAATCGGGAAACAAACGAGATAGCGACACGTGTCTATTCAAATATAGCGACATGTGATTAAGTTTGACCACATGTTTGGTTGGCAGACATTGCAATGAAATTTGTTAAATGAATTAAAATATGTCTGTTTGGAACTTGGAGAAGCAATGGAGGGGAGAGAAATCGAACCCGAGAAGCGATGGAGAGAAATCATAAATCAATACGATGGAGAAGGAGATGAGCGTCTGTTTTATCATATTAGAGTTAAGAAGTATACTTGCGACTATAAAATTATAACATTTTATTCCATTAAAAATACTATTTTATTGCCAATAAATGTTCAAATCCCTTATTTAAGGAATTAATTGGATTTTGAAAATTCTTTCTCTAAAAAAGATGAACCAAAAGAAGAAAATAAAAATTTCCAAATAAATTTCACATTTCAATTTTATCAGATTCTTTCATAATTTATTAACAGAACACCGCCACAAAATTTACATAGGTCAAAACCAAGGTTAACAGCATACTAATCTATACTATCTTATTAAGCAAATTTAGCAAAAGTCTTAAAGTCTTAAAATTCTAAATGACGAAAATACCCTTTATACTCACTTTTTCACTTTTTCACTTTTTCACTTTTTCATCCTATCTTCTCCTCACATACACTCACCCTCTCACATACACTCACTTTCTTACAACCGATTTTTTTTAATTATAATTTTAAATTTACATTTTATACCCCTATGATTAATTAATTTATTTATTTTACGTCATTTACTTTTAAATGTTTTATTTTAAACATTTATCAAATTAACATACATAATCGTATATCAATTAAAACATATTTAAAAAATACATTTTTATTTTAACAAGTTACACCATTATAATCGTCTCGTTAATACCTTCGAAATGAGTCCAATATTGAATAGTTTTTTACTTAATTATATTATTATATATTATATATACTGTGAAAAAATATTTTTAATATTTACGATTTATACTTTTATAGTTATTTATTTATTTATATACTATATATTTTGGGGTTAGGCTGTCCAAATTGCATTGTATAATATGTTTTGAATTAATATGTTCTTGGGTTTTTTTGAAATATATATATACATGTATTAATTCAACATTAATCTGAGTTTTTGGAAAATAAAGATGGTAAGCAGTTGAAATTTCATTCTAAAACCCAACTTTTTTTGTCTTTTCATGACTTATGATCTGTCAAATTTTTAGTTTTCTTTATTGGTTTTTAGTATTTATCTTAAAACTCAAGTTTCTTGGTTATTTGCTCTTTGTGTAAATCGAATATATTTGTGGAGTCGTTTAAATATGTTGGATTTTAAATATATTGGATTTTAAACTGTCATACAATTTTTTCCATCGATACTCTGTAATTGGAACCATAACTCTTATTTATTCAAATTGTATTAATATGTAAAGATCAAGTGTAACCTATATTATCGTTAAATCTTATCTTATAAAACCAGTAGAACTTCAAAATCGTTAAAATTCATGGCTCCCGCCGCATTGCGCGGGTACACAACTAGTAATTATTATTAAGAAAATGTAATATTGGATTGGCTTCGGCCTTCATGACATTTTTTATTTGCGACATGATATGACCTTAAAATAGCAGGGGTCAAGGTCGATCAGTGAGACGATGGACGTTTTGAACCTAGGTCACATATCGCTTTATAACCAAGTTACATATAAAAAACGAATACCTATAATAAGAAAATGCAAATATTGTTATTACGATAATTTATATTCATAGAGCAAGGATAACGTTAATCATTTGGTTACGATACGGCATGAATATGCATAAAAAAATAAGATAGTGGTAATTGTATGATATTTATATGTGTTAATATGAATTATTTATGTCGTATCATTACTTTTAAACAATATGATAAACATGTATCAAGAGGAAATTTGATTTGGTAATTGTCGATATTTATAATCATTAATTTTGGAATTACCAACGGGTTATTGACACAAGTCACGACATTATCTTGGTCATCAGTAAGAGCATAGTCTTTCTGGAGGTAAAAGTGAGCAGTGTATAAGAATATTTGTTGTATATAAATATTATATAGTTTGAAAGAAAATGTATATAGATATTATTAAAGGCAAAGGATCGTGTAAGAAGGAGAATTAAGGTGAGAAATGTAAGAGATGATCTAAATCTTTGATCATCCTTAATCTCAAACTCATCCATGAATCGCGTTTGATATCGGAATTGATCTGGTGCATGTCATCCTAATGTGCATTCAATAGTGGAGATCCATTCTTATGATTTTCACCTTAACTCAATGCTATTATTAAAAGTATATATATATATATATATATATGTGTGTGTGTGTGTGTGTGTGTGTGTGTGTCTGTCTGTCTGTCTGTCTGTCGTGTGTGTGCGCACGCACGCACACGCATACATACAAATTTGATAAAAATACAAAATAGAATGGCATAACACAAATAAAATTACAATCATTATTTGATTAAAAGTTGTATGTTGAGGTTGTTTTCCATACTATATATGTTGTTATATCATGATTAATAGATCCAATTTTATTACCGTTGTGGGTAAAATTAGATCATGATAGAGAGAGTAAGAGAGCTTAGATATTGAGATATGATTGTGTGTACAAATGATAAGGCATCAACCCTTTTATACAGTGCAAAGCTTGAGTCAATACATAAATGAATGCTAGGAGTTATATAGGCCTATTAATTCATACATAAAGTCTATCAATTATGGTGTTAAATATGATAGGTAAATCATTCATTTATAAGTTACAACAATCCCCCTAGGGTGTCTTGATGTACACCACATAGCACTCGCACTTTTATGTTTGTGTGTTTTGACAGTCAATTTAATACTCGCCTCGTCAAAATCTTGCCAGAGAAAACTCTTTGGGACAAAACTCTGGCTAAGTGTATAAGTCGAATGAGATAAATGTATGAGATGGAACACTATACAAGTGTACGATTCAAATGACTAGAAAGTATGTGTCTCATCAAAACCTTGCCACAAAAACCCGATGGGGAAAAACTTGGTTGAAGGACAAACGAGTACACAAGGATCAGTAGTAGCGAGGGAAATAACCGTACACAGTTGCCTCATTAAAACCTAGTTAGAAAAACCCCAGTGGGAAGAATCTATAATCGAAGGGAAAAAGAATTCATAGTGGTTAGAAGTATGCAACTGGATACCCCTTTTGACTTCGGTAATACTTAGTGAGAACGGGATCAAGTTTGTGTTTTGTTAAAAAAGATCTTTGTCAAGGTAAACCCAATGGGACAAACCTTTGAAATAAAAAAAATTAAAAGAGTACACAAGCATTCAACGGGATGCTCCCCCTCACATGCATACAAGGTGATGTTAAACATACGTCGGGATGCAATCCTCACTTGCACACAACAGGGTGCATAATACATGTCATTTAGGGTAGCTCAGAGAGTTTTCAAAGTCTGATCGTTTTAACATATCATTGGAACGATATTTTGGCAGTGACTTGGAGAACATGGTACATGATACATGTCATTTCTAATTCAATATGTTGTACTTTAATCTTTTGAAGTGCTTGTTCATGTGTAAAAAACAACTTTGGCAAAATTGTGTTTAGTAGTATCCCTTTTGATCTAACCATGTTTCCCTTGATTAAAAAGAGTGATATTGTCCTCATAAATGACAATTAGTTCATAGGGATCATAAGCTAAATCACATGTACCTCAAATATGGCCAAAATAGTTCCCTTCTTTCCAAAATAATTGTCCATATTCTTGTTGGTCCAAGATTACCATGTTTTTATATATTGTTTTGATGATTTCAAACAAGTCGTATTATATTGTTTGTCTAATATTTTACTTGATGTGCATATATATATATATATATATATCGGGCCAAGATCAAATGCTAACCATCATTCTTGTGTTAATCTTATTAACTTATCTTGGCCATCCAAATCTATAATCAACGGTTAAGATTAATCAATAAAAAAAATTAAATTTTAAAGTTTGATTTTTTATGAGGCCTAGTGAACAATGAGAAAGGGGCATTTTGGGAAGAAAAAAATAAACTTATCAAGAGTATTCTAGTAAATTGAGTTCATTTGTAACCCCCAAACAATTAATGGGGAGTTACAAACAATCAAATCCCAAAAAATATGCATTCATATTATTATTATTTTTTTTTACTATTGATCTTCCAATTGTTTGGGGAGTTACAAACAATCAAATCCCAAAAAATATGCATTCATATTATTATTATTTTTTTTTACTATTGATCTTCCATGTTCATTCTTATATGAATTCATAAATCGCATAAGAAACACGGTAGTAACAATTTTCGGTATTGATTAATTTGAACACAAATGAACCGTGAACACAATTTGAACAAAAATGAACAACCGTAAACACAATTTGAACACAAATGAACCGTGAACACAATATGAACACAAATGAACACGATATGTGCAATTTCTGGCCCATATATTCACATACATAGACGTCCCACAAAATTAAGGTAGCATATGTTAATTTATGTTCATCTGTTAATTTGTTCAAATTGTGTTCATGGTTCATTTGTGTTCAAATTGTGTTCACGGTTGTTCATTTGTGTTCAAATTGTGTTCACGGTTCATTTGTGTTCAAATTGATCAATACCGAAAATTGTTACTACCGTGTTTCTTATGCGATTTAGGAATTCATACAAGAATGAACATGGAAGATCATTAGTAAAAAAAAATTTAATAATATGAATGCATACCTTACTTAACTAAACAAGAAAAACTTCACCTCCCCTGTAGGAAGGGGCAAGCTAATTCCCCTATCGCTTACCGTTAACTGCTACTACAGCTTTTGTAACTCCCCATTAATTGTTTGGGGGTTACAAATGAATTCAATTTACTAGAATACCCTTGTAAGGGTAAAATGAACAAGACATAAACATATAAGAATAATAGAATTTGATTGGTTGAGAGGGTTTTCAAAGTTAACACAAAAATGATGGTTAATATTTGATCTTCCCTCTCTCTCTCTCTATATATATATATATAAAGTGGCTAGCTTATTCATCAAACTTTTAAGAAAAAAATTATATAGAAAGTCAAGTTCTTTCAAAAATGTTCCTCCCAATTAAAAAAAAATACGTTTCTTCTATTTATGAAAAGACCTCCTCAATTATAGAAACATATTAATCCACAAAGTCAACTATATTTACACGGGACTTCAACCCATCATTTACCCCTAGGCTAGTAGGATGATGAGATAATCTCCAACAGTATGTTAAAATGAAGAAAAATGAGATTTTAGCAATTTTTTACTCCTACATCTATGCTATATTGAATGCTAAGATAGATAAAAGTAGAGAGGTAAGGTAAAAATCTCCAAATTTGGAGAAATCTCTAAAATTAATTGAAATTAAATGTTTAGGAGAGAGATATAATATTTCATTAAATGTATTGAATACTTTAATAATGTAATTAATGATAGAATTGCCAAAATAGAATATTTGTTGGAGTTAAATGTAATTTTTTTAGAGATTTGACTTTTAATACTATATTTTAGAAAAACTATAGCATAGTTATTAGAGATGCTATAAGTAGGGTGAGTTAAGGCGGGTACTTGGCCAAAATTCATGTAACCCGAACCGGCGGTTCCTAGAATGAAGGAACAGGAACAACGGTTCCTTACACCGGTTCTTTATATTTGGGTTGGTCCCATAACCATCGGTTTCGGTTCCGATATCGGTTACCCGGTGTCTAATTTTTTTTAAAAACTTATCATTTCATACTATAAAAAAATTAATTATTGGTCTATTGCAAAGCACCAACGTAAAGAAATAAATATTACAAACCGTGAAAACTAATCCGATTTAAAGAAATAAATACTACAATGCACCAACGGAAAAAAAACATTACTGATGAACATAAAAAACCTAATGAATCAAACCCATGGTATCAATGAACAAAAAAACCTTACTATATCTATAAGGAAACATTACTAATAAACAAAAACATCCTACTGAATCAAACCCATGGTATCCATGAACAAATAAACCTACTATATCTATCATGTTGATGATGATAATTTACTCATGAACAAAAAAACCTATTATATCCATCAAGAAAAAAAGACAAAAACAAATAAAAGCTAATAAAACCATAAAAATATGCTATTAAACAAATATATGGTTTCACATGAAAGAAAAAAAGCATTGAAGAAATCGACAAACAACCACAAACAATAGACATGGAGAAGAAATCGACTGTAGAATCTATTGCCTTGGAGAGAAATTGAGTGCATAAATCGTTACCTTCGAAGGAGACATTGAGTGTTAGAAATCGATTTGGAGGAGAAATCAAGTGCAAAAATCGATTTGGAGGGAAGACCATCAAATCGTGTTCGGTCCGGAGGAAAGATCAAGTAACGCTAAAAAGTTAATTAATAATTTTAATTTTAGTTTATTAAATACAATAAACATATAAAATATTTATTAAAAAAATAGCATGTACTCGTCAGTTCTGGTTTTGGGTACCCAGCGACATGGGCGGACCTGGTGTGGTGGCATGGGTGGCACGTGCCACCGTATTATTTCGCTTCCGAAGGGTAAAAAATTTAGATTTGTTAAAGGTGCTACCATATCGTTTTAGAAGGTGCTACCGTATTTCCCTGAAATCCAAATAGTGCAACTAAAACCAAAACAAAACAAAGCCCAAATAACCAAACAAAATTATAAAAATGCAAAGCCCAATTGTCTAAAATGCGAAGCCCAAAAAATATCAATTAATCAAATAAGGTGTTTAGCTTAGCCCAACCCAAGTGCCAACTAAACTGACCCAACTGCCAACAACCCTTAAGGCTTAAATCCCTAAGGCCTAAACACGTCGACGGATACGTACCTGGTGCGAGTGAGCGACGACAAGAGATCTGGTGCGAGTGAGCGACACAACGACAGCGCAGCGAGTCAATCGATTGGAACAATTCTTGAAGACTCACTGACTCACTCGGACGATTCTTGAAGACTCACTCGAACGATTCTCACTCGAGTCGCTTGCTACAATGGCTATTTGGTGACTTTAATCTCTATTTTCATATTTACCCATTTTAGGTATCCATTTTTACTCTTAATCTTAGATTAATTATTTGTTGATGATCAATACAACTGTTGTAGTTAAGATTGTTAAGTAGTTTTAGACTTTTAGTTAATTACTTGATTAGTGATTACTCTTAAGTTAACTCTTGAATTTGATGATGATTGAATAAAATTGAATTGTTGACTGACAGACTGAGTTACTGAGTTACAAATTGATCATTCATTAATTGATTATTTAGTTTAGTTGATGATGTTTAGGCTTCAGATGTTGATTAGATTTACTGATTACTTATTATTGCTTTCATTACTTAGATTTACGTAACTAATTCATTATGGAAAGATATTTGAAACGAAAAGCTTCATCATCAACCGGTAATAATGATGCATCCAACAATGTGATTGATGTTAACGATCTTCCTTGGGATCCATCAGAGAGACCCATAATTATAACTTATAACCCAAATCAAAGAGATGAAATTAGACGAAAATACTTGGTAAGGGGTCCTTGTCAACCACGAGGTCACATCTTTCCAACCAAAGTTATAGGGGCTAAAGCAAGACGGATTGTTGTTACTTGGTTTGATCAATTTCAGTGGTTGGAATACAGTGTAAAAGTAGATAGAGCATATTGTTTGCCTTGTTACTTGTTTAGAGACCAAGGTGGGAATCATGGGATAGATGCATTTATGGCGGAGGGATTCAATAGTTGGAGTAAAAAAGATAGACTTACGCTTCATGAGGGTGAGGTTAATAGTTTTCACCATAAAGCACTTAAAAAATGTGAAGATTTGGTTAACCAAAACCAATCAATTGTTGTTGCCCTTTGTAAACAAACAGAACTCATGAAGACCGAGTACCACATGCAATTGAATGCTTCCATTGAAGTTTGTAGATATTTGTTGGAGAATGCTTTACCATTTCGTGGCAACGATGAGTCGGAAAAGTCTATGTACAAAGGGCTTTTCTTGGGGACTTTAAAGTTAATTGGAAGAACAAATGGTGAGATTGAAAAGGTTATATTATAAAATGCCCCTAAGAACAATCAATTGACATCTCCAAAGATTCAAAAAGATCTTGTTACTTGCTTTGTGGAAGAGGTGTTGAAAGACGTTATTGGGGAAATAGGTGATGATGTATTTGCTTTGTTGGTGGATGAGTCTAGTGATGTCTCTAGAAAAGAACAAATGGTCGTGGTTTTGAGGTTTGTTGACAAAATTGGAGTTGTTCAAGAAAGATTTGTCGGCATTGTTCATGTCATGGATACATCTGCTGTAAGTCTTAAATCTGCCCTGGATGCTTTATTTGCAAAATATGGATTGAGTTTCACAAAGGTAAAAAGGTTTGTTAATAAATTATTTGCTTTAAGTTTTAAATTATATCATTGAATATTTGGCTAAATAGCTTAATTTATCTTTAAAATAGGTAAGAGGACAAGGTTATGAYGATGCTAGCAACATGAGTGGTAAGTTCAATGGGTTGAAAGCTTTGATCTTGAGTGTTAATTGTTGAAAAACTTAATTTTGGTAAGTTTTTAGGATGCTGTACAACTCACCAAACTCAAAGTACAAGTGGTTAATGCATGAGGTTAAAATTAATAT